GTATTTTTACAGTCTTTATTTTACAGTTAAAACATGTTTATCAAATAAAGTCTGTTACAACTAATCATGGATCCTTTTAAATGTAATTTTTTTAAATTACAGTTCTCATTTGATTGTTTTGCCTCCAGTATAAGATTGTATTTAAAATGATGAAATGACAGTGACAAACACATTTCTGCAGTAGATTTAATAGTTAAGAGTAAACACACAGATGGATGACATGCAAAAATCCTCAACCGAAACAAAAAACTTTTAGCCGTTTCAGAGGAACTTCGTACAAAATAACTCAGATTATTAATCTGATGTACAGGGAGCGATAACAGTCTATTTTTAAAAGTTCAGTCAGTATTTTCATGCTGATTACATCAATCTGTTTTTGTAGTTTCTTCAAATTGAACATGAAAATGTTTAGAAACAATGAATTCACAGGAGGCTTTGACCTTTGAACTGAACAATCAACATCTGCAGCCATGCGTCGTCTTCCAGAATCAAAGCATCAGGACCGATCAAATGACAAAAATCACAGTTTAACACAGAAATATCGTCTGATCAGCTTAAATATCTTTAAACATTTTATATCATCAGGTAAAGATCAGATATGTAGCTGCATGAAATAAAACTCAAATTTCTCTAAAACGTGTCAAAGTTTGTTTTCTTTACAAATGTTCAACATGGCTTTTTATCTACAAAAACCTGTAGCGGAAATTAAATAACATCTGGAGCACTACAGATTATCAGTGACAAACTGTCCCATTTGGCAGTGCTGTTTGGTCTTTTCTTTCAATAAATTAAATAAATTAAACATTAAATATGGACAAACCATAGATCTAAGACATGTAGTGTATTTTAGCCTCTCTTTTTTTTCCCATCGGGTCAAAATCTGCATTAAATAAGCTACAAGCTAATTACACCTACCCGTTTTATAATCAGTAAACATGTTTGATATTGGCAGATCGCAAAATTTGCCGATAGTAAAATAAATAAATAAATAAAAGTGCAGTTTAAATTTTGCCCAATTAGCTTTTAGGATTATGAGCACCTTTGTTATGTTCAGCTAATGAGCGTTTAAAGCATTTAAATAAAAAAATATACAACAAAAAAGTGATTATCCATGAAGTGCAGATGTGTCTCAGCAGAGAGAGGTATTTAAACGAACGTAAAGAGGGGACACAGTAACAACAGTGGTCTTTTGGTATGAAAAAAAGCAGAAACTGGAATAAATATTGCAGCTGTTTGATTAAAAGTACAATAAATCTAACGGGTCAGAGTCAGCATCACATTTATCTAATTATCAGCTCTTCTCCTAAATGATACAACACACAGACAGCGCCCCCAAAACTGACCTGAATTACAATAAATAAATAAATATTTCCACAATTCAACTAAAGAGCGTATCTGGACGAGCAGCAGTGCATGCAGATGTTCTGGTCCTGTAGAAAGTAAGGCACCAGAGGTTTCCAGAATACACCTGGTGTACAGTGTTTAACAAGTCTTCAGGTGTTTTAAAGGCAGTCTATGAGAGTGCATACAACAGACTGGAACCAGGAGTTCTTCACTTTTCAGGCTTCAGCAGACGTCATCTTCTGCAGCAAAGGGAGCTGGAGGGAAAAAAGCACTGAGATTTTTAACCTGATGATAAAACTGGAGACGGTTTGATTTAGTTTTAGATTTTCTTTCACTCAATCCTTGTAAAATCAGAAATAATATTACCTTAGACAAATCCACTCCTGTGAGAGCATTGACAGAAACAGGAAGTTCGGCCAGAAGGCGATTTATTTCACTTGTCGCGCGGCTGCCCTCCCCGCTGAGGATCACAATCTCATTTGTTTTGGCTAAAGGTGCAGAAATCTTAGAAGCAATCTGAAAACAAAAAACAACAATTTTGCATTAAACAGGCTTCAGTGATCATATTAAAGATTCCTGAGTAAACTGCATGAATATGATACAATTAAACATTTTAATCTGGTTAGCCGCTGTATTTTGTTTGAACAAAACCTAAAATCTAAAACCCAAGCTAAGCTAAGCTAGGCTAGGCTAGGCTAACTACGCACTATTTTCCTTTTTTATAGACAGTTACCAACAGAGACAAAAATGTACTAAATATCTGGCAGGAAAACAGAAGTTGAAGCCCCTCAGGGTGGTCCCCTCGGTCAGAGGTTCTCAACTGGGGTCTGTGAGCCGTATATTGGGGGTCCTCAAAAAAATTCAATACATTGTAAATTTCGTTTTTATTTTAAAAATTGCGTATGGGGAACAATGCAGTAGTAAAACAAACATACTAAACCAAACAAAAAACAATATTCCCATGGCTTTTAGGGGTTAAAATGAAGTAAATTATTTTTAAAACAGTGTAGGGTTCATGAGGGGGTCCCTGGAAATGTTTCACCCTTAAAAGGGGTCCCCAGACCCAAAATGTTTGAGCCCCCCTGCCTTA